CACCCCCGCCCCCTGCCCTTCCCGAGGGCAGCAGCCGCGGCCCGGAGATAAGCGCTAGCGCGGCGCAGGGCTCTGCCTGGGCTAGTGGCACCGACGTGGGTATGTTTCTTATGAATATTACACGCGGAGCAGCGTCTGGTCGGGGGGTGCGGTGGGGGGCGCTGGGGGCGGGCGGCAGGGGAGGCCGAGGCGGCTGGGGGGAACGTGGGCCGGCGTGGGGGATGGGGCTGAGGCGAGGGGAGGGATGGGAGCGAGCGGGGGAGCTCGGCGGCGGCGGGAGGAGGGCAGCCTCCCCCCAACCCTCACCTCCCTCCCTCTCCCCGCTCCTAGGCGTCACTGAAGTCCAGGAAAATTATGCTAATGAGAACAAACGGCTCTCACAAAGGGGCTCTCTTTCTTAGGAATCCGTTTAGGAAACCACCTTACCCTGTGCCCTGGACATTTCCAGTTGCGGGGCGAAGGGAAGACGGAACCAGGAGAAGAGAGTTCCCCAGACTTTGGGCAGTTTACCTCACCTCACCTGCCACCCCCAATCCAAGAACCTCAGAGCCAATCTCTGGGGAGCTGGGGTAGGGCCTCCTTTCTCGGGAGACCGCCCCAAGAGCCAACTGGGGTGTTTTTGGTTGTATTTTTTAAGTAGAAACCCTTGAAGTCCTGGCGGCTGGGAGGGAAGTAGCCTGGGGGAGATGCAGGTTGTCCAGGCAGTGAAATGGGACACTCTGGGCTCAGGTACACACAAAGGTGCTAGAATCCTGGGTCTCCAGCTCTTCTGTGCCCATTTCACAGTTCAAACACGCAGCTCACTCTCAGGCAAAGACAGATAAAGTTCTGACCCCCCGCAGGAACGTACACCTATATTTTCTCCCCTAATTGGTGGTAGATAGGGACGCTGAGCAGAGGAAAGGCCCGATGTGCCTGGTAACATTGCCAAAACTTTAAGGAGAATGGATGGTCTTTCTCCTCCTTAACGCCTCCCTCAACTCCCCAGATTCAGAAGTGAACTCTGCAAGGATATGTGTGTGGCAAAAAGAGAGAAATGGAGCTTTCGTGCAATTCCAAGGTGTCAGCGGCCGGTCCTTCTCAAAGGAAGGTGTTAAAAATATAAGTAGTATGTTTAAACTGTCAGGGAGCCAAAGTGTCACCTTAGAGCAAAAACAAAGCCAAGGGAAAAGGGAGAAATCAAAAAGCACTCCGGGCCAGGGTGGCCTCATGCATACCAATGGTTTTTGTCATTTATGGCTGGGCAAGATTTATGACTCGGCGCC